CCCTCTGGTGCCTTGAAGAATAGATTGACCCTCTCTTCTTTGTAGCAGCCCCTCAAATACTGTAATACTGTCATCCTGTCACCCCTAATTCTTCTTTTCTTTAGACCAAATCCAAACCCAAATCCTGCAACCGTTCTTCATATATTTTAGTCTCCAGGCCTTTCATCATCTTAGTTGCCCTTCTCTGCACTTTTTCCTCAGACCATAGTCAAGCAAAGCAGGACATAATGTGAAATCCTATAGCTGGGTCCACAACCATTTACACTCAGTTTGCTTTTGGTTTAACACAAGGCATTAACCAGTCCATTATGGCAACAGAAATCATGGTTGCATGATTTCTTAGCATGTTATGTAAACCAGGACCATGACTTTTCCCCCAAACTTTGGCTAAAACAAGCCACTGCTTAGCAGCATATATGAATCTAAGGTCAACCGTGATTCCAGGCAGTTTGTCTAGAAATGATAAAAAAAAAAACTTTTCATAGGGAATCTGTTATAGAAATCCAGTTTTGCTCTGTTTGGTTGAATAACATAGAGTTGAAGGTAACATTTTATGCTTTGAAATGTGGGTGTGTTTGGGGAAAATGGAAAGCCAGAGAGGCCTTATCTGTGTATGTAAAATAATTTTATGGAAGTTTCACACCACTTACGTTAGCTTGAATTCCAACTTTAAAAGTACCTCTTCAAAGGACTCTTACCATACCCCAGTCCTTATATAAACATGTTAAAGTATATAGAGGGAAGGTATATCTTATGTACTCAGTAATTTTTTTCTCCTTATATACATTCACCCTTGCAAATATACTGCCGTATATTCTGAATTTTTAGCTTAACTTTCCTGGTTGGTTCGTCAATTTCTACTGGGTGAAGCAAGGAAATCTATAGAATGATTTTCTAAACTTTATCAACTTTAAGATGTGTAGACTTCAATTCCTGGCATTCCCCCAGACGGTTGGAAGGGACCTTGGAGATCTTCTAGTCCAACCCATTGCTGAGGCAGGAGACCCTATACTATTCCAGGCAAATGCTTGTCCAACCTTTTCTTGAAAACCTCCAGTGATGGAACACCACAATTTCTGGAGGCAAGCCATTCCACTAATTAATTATTTTCACTTTCAGGAAATTTCTCAACTCAAATCATGTTGTTGATAGTCTAATAATGAGTAGATTGATCTGGCATGCTAATTGTTTACAAACTTCAAATTCTGGAGTACACCACAAATCATTCCGCTGCAATCTTTCTTGGTCTCAAATTAAAGAATATATATATATATATTCTTTATTATATTATACTATATTATATTATACATAATATATATGGTTATAAGCAGGTTATATTTTTCTCCCAGTTCTAAATGAGCTCATACATGCATGCCTTTCAAGTTTAAACCATCATCCGATCACTTTGGCTTAGTGCATTGTTTGCTTTACAAACCAAGATTGATAGCTTACTGGGTTGTGTGAAGCTAGCCACTGTGGTGCATATACCCTAATTTGTGGGTGAACATAGAGAAAGATAATTCCATTGTTTGGGTCATTTTTGAGGGGTCCTTGGTGCTCTCTGAGCTTGGTTGTTTTCTTGCAGACGTTTCATTACCAAACTAGGTAACACCATCAGTGCTACTAAGGGAATAGGTTTTGCTCTCCATTTACATTCTTAGTAGCCTGCCCTGTCAGTGTTGGTGGCAGTGATCTTGGAGATTCTTTGGTTGGGCTGTTTACCGTTAGCCTGTGTGACAGTTCCTTGACTGACAGTTCCATTTTTGTTTTGCTTTTTTCTTAGATTTACTAAGGCTAACCAGCTCCAAAATAAGCATTGTTGGGATGCTAAGCAGAGGAGAGGTTGAAAGACAAAAGAGTCATTTTTCATTTGGTTTGCAAGGGGAGGTCTGTTTGTTTGTTTTTTCAACCAAGAAGCTTCTCAGATGAACTGCGCTACCATCTTCTCAAATGTCCTACCTCAAAACACCGGCAATTGGCTCCGCAGGCTCACAGCTGGCCCCTTCTCACTTAGCACCAGCAAACTGTGACTTATCCTCACCCTGGTTTTGCAGATAGATTCTGTCCTTAACCATCCAGCTTGCCCTGTGGCCTTCAGCTTGGATTCAATCCAGAAACGTAAATGAGCAGAATACATTTGCAACTGGAAGAACTTCCTATTCTTCTCACTTCATACTGTGTTGGTTCTCAGCATATCTCAGGCCGAGTCATCCTGGACATAAACTGTTCCAACTTCTACCCTCAAAACGACGCTATAGAGCCCTGCACACCAGAACAACTAGACACAAGGACAGTTTTTTCCCAAATGCCATCACTCTGCTAAACAAATATTTCCCTCAACACTGTTCAACTATTACAAAGTCTGCACTACTATTACTGTTAATCTTCTCATCACTCCTTATCGCCCATCCCCTCCCTCTTGTGACTGTATGACTGTAACTTTGTCGCTTGTATCCTTACGATTTATATTGACTGTTTCCTAGTATGATTTGATTGTTGATTGTACCCTATGACTATCATTAAGTGTTGTACCTTATGATTCTTGACTCTTGATGAATGTATCTTTTCTTTTTATGTACACTGAGAGTATTTATACCAAGACAAATTCCTTGTGTGTCCAATCACACTTGGCCAATAAAGAATTCTATTCTATTCTATCCTATCCTATCCTACCCTACCCTACCCTACCCTACCCTATCCTCTATTCTGTTCTATTCTATTCTATTCTATTCTATTCTATTCTATTCTATTCTATTCTATTCTATTCTATTCTATTCTATTCACTCTATTCTGACAAGTAAAGTCAATGGGGAAACTAAGTTCACGTAACGACCATGTGACTAATTTAAGATTCACTTAACAAAAGTGGCGAGAAAAGTCATAGAGTGGGACAAAACTCCCTTAAGAAATTTCTCACTTAGCAACATACATTATGGGCTCAATTGTGGTCGTATGTTGAGGATGGCCTGTACACTTTGAGGATTCCATTTTGATCTTTTGAAATAGATTTTGAGGTCTATTGATGACTCCCCTCTCTAGAAATCTAATTTAACCAACTCTCGGGCTGGAAATTAGTCCATGCTCTCCTCTTGGGGTGCAGTTTTGCAACTTTACAGTCTAGAAATCTTGTTAGGAAAAAAATCCTCCCCCCCCCCAATAACTAAGACATACATCATTATAAATCTTTACTCTCTTCAATGGGTCAGATTTAGAAGAGAAACGCTGCCTCCCGAATAAGAAGGGGTTAAAAAAAACAACCTTATAAAGCACTTTCAAAGAAAATAAAACTCATTTCTAATGTGGGAAGATGGGTGAGTAGGGAGGAAGAAGAGTGAAAAAATTGGAAATGGATAGAATCCGTAAGAGAGGCGAGAGGAGGTCATACAATTCACAAATAGGTGTATGGAGAAGCAAGAATGTTTCATATGGATAGAAAGAAAAAGAAAAAGGAAGGAAGGAAGGAAGGAAAGAAGGAAGAAAGAAAAAAAAGGAAAAAAGGAAAGAAAGAAAGAAAGAAGGAAGGTAGGAAAGAAAGAAGAAAGAAAGAAAGAAAGAAAGAAAGAAAGAAAGAAAGAAAGAAAGAAAGAAAGAAAGAAAGAAAGAAAGGGGAATAGTGTGACTGATATGGTATATATGTAAATATGTTAAACTGGTGCTTCTTAAACTTTTTTCTCTCAGGATTGTTTCTCACTTTTAAAAATTATGGAGGACCCCAAAGAGCTTTATCAATATTTACCACATTAAAAATAAAATTACACATATCCGCTGCTGCTGCTGCTTCTCATGATTATTTAATGGGATCTTAAAACGGAATGGTTTTTCAATTTCCCAATGTTGGCTGGTAAATAATTGTGATTTTGCAAACACTGAGACTGTCACAGGGGAACTCCAGGAATTCTAGAACCACACATTAAGAAATATTAAGAGTAAACAATCGTCAATAGTAAATGGCAGCTTGCAACATGTGGGTTGTCAAAATGCAGCTTTATAAAGCTTTGTATTTAGGTATATATTTTATATGCATACTAGATCGATACCCATGCTTCGCTATGAAACTGTGTGGTCGGGCTTAAATTTTGAGGAGGAAAATAGGGGGGGAAATTCTGCCTCTGCCTACCAGCATCCATCGGTATTCATCCAGCTTGTCAGTGTGTGAGAGAGTTGAGGTCTGTTTGGAAACTGAAATAGTACTGGCTATGTGAGCAAGAAGGAGACAGCAGGGAGCCTGGGCGTGGCTTAGATCAACTGTTCTGTACTTAAAGCCGCTTGGTGCTGTAAAGTAAAACTGAAACTCCTCTCCTCTGCTTGTGTTTTGCATTTGGAACAGATTTCCTTTCAGGTGGGGAGGGGGAGTAGAACTCCTTAGCATCAGAGCGTGTTAATAATAATATAGGAAATATTATTGCTCTGATGGTCATTTCAAAAAACCCTTTCTTAGCGAGCACCTAGAAGCCAAGAGGAACATACGCGCCAAGTTTCAAGTTTGTAAGCTTTACGGTTCCGGAGATTTTGTCATGATGCATGAGTGGCATTTCGCTTTTTTATATAGAGAGATTTAATGTCTCCTTCAGAAGGTGACAACATCAACAGTTTCTCTTCACTCCGTCAAACGTGAGCAGGTTTCTACCTTTGTAGCCTCTACCGAGGAGAACTAAAGACGTACAAGGGTGGCACTGAACAAATGAGCTGTTCTCCAGATTTTTCCGAAAAATATGCGGTTGGGTTCCTCTTGCCCCACCTCCTCCCAGGAGTGGGACCTGACCTTCTTTGCACTAATTTAGCTTTCCCTGAACCAAATAAACGATTGTTTTTTATGAAGACACTGGGTGGCTTAAAAAGGTGATGGACATTTTAACCCTTCCTTTGACAACGTACTTTTTAAAAAAAATCTCAAGCAGCCTTCAAAACTCAGAAGGTACAGAGAAAAGGTGAGCGGCAACGATCTTTGGAAAAGCAGTAATCCTTTTCCCAGGTGCCTCGTTCCTCCTCCAGCCACTTACCTTCGAAGTCTGAAAGGATCCCATCCAGATGTTCCTTCACTGACAATTGAGACATCCTCCTTTCCGAGGAGCTTGCTAATTCACGCTTGCCGGGATCCAGTGCAGCTGCCTTTTCTCCCCCCGCCCAGAGATCCTGCAGAAAAACAACAACAAGGGCAACAGAGAGATTTAGACTCCCCCAAGTTTGCAAAGTCCATAACTTTTGTTTCTACGTGAGTCAGGGAGCTTTCGCATCGGGTGAGGGTGGCGGTGGGGTTAGATTTCTGCCCCGTCCCTCTGGCGCTCACCTTCCGAGGCTGCCCGCCTGGTGGCTACAGAAAAGGAGTAGAAGCAGCAGAAAACAAAGTCTCCTTCCCTTCTGTCCCCCTCTTTCCAGAAAGCTCACCCCCCCCCCCCACTCCCAACCCACCCCAGCTTAACTCTTCCAGGGATTACATTGGCTGGTTGGGTTTGCCTGGCCCTTCTTTGCAGGGGAAAGAGGAGCGGAGGGGAGGAGAGACAGCCAGGGAGGGAGGGAGGGACAAGGGGAGAAGGGAGGGTTTGAACAGGGCAGGGGGCTCTGAGGTGCTTTCGGCAGACTGGGAAAAGCAAGAAGAGAAGCTGTTTGAGTCCAAGAAACAAGGAGAAGAAGCAGCTGCTGGTGTGGGACACGCAGCCCTTTTACCCCCTTCCGCTGCTTTCCTCCTCTCCGGATTTTCCATCCTTCAGGATTTGGGTTTGGCTAGTTTAGAGGAAAGAATTAGGGGTGACATGATAGCAGTATTCCAGTCTTTGAGGGGCTGCTCCAGAGAAGAAGGGGGTCCATTTATTCTCCAAAGCACCAGAGGGCAGGACAAGAAACAAGGGATGGAAACTAACCGATGAGAGAAGCAACCTGGAATTAAGGAGAAACTTCGTAACAGTGAGGACCATTAACCGGTGGAACAGAAGCTGCCTCCAGAAGTTGAGGGTGCTCCCATCACTGGAGGTTTTTAAGAAGAGACTGGACAGTCACTTGTCTGAAATGATATTGGTTCTCCTGCTTGAGCAGGGGGCTGGACTAGAAGACCTCAAGGTCCCTTCCAGCTCTGTTCAGATTCTATTTTGATAAGGCCTGGCTGGGTGAGTTTCCCGCCAGAGTTTGCCAGCTTTTTAAAGTTTAGCCCTTGGGCCTTTGAAAGTGTCCCAAATTGGAGGGAGGAAATAAATTTTCTATCTCTTATCTATCATCGCTCTATCTACTTATCACCTATCTACTACTATCTATCAACTCTCTCTATGCGAAGCTATCTAACTCTACACGCAAGGCACCAACTCGATGGCACACAACCGCTGTCTATTTAATGGACTTTTATATATATCTAAAACTCTAATTCCTGCTTTTTCAAAAGCAATCATTGACTGGACAGCTGTCTGAAACGGCATAGGGGTCTCCAGCTTGAGCAGGGAGTTGGACTAGAAGACCTCTAAGACCCCTTCCACCTTTATTCTGATTGTGATTTCAATTCTGACTCAAGGGAGCCAGGGACTCAAGCAAGGGAGTTATAACATGACTGTGATTGGTGGCAAATTTTTTGAAAAAAAAAAACCCTGAACTGAGCCATCTCTCAGAAATGGCTCCAGGTAGTGGCTTCTCTGATAAACCATGGTTAATCCCCTCACGGCTTAAATTTGATAGAGATGAAGCCGATCAAAGGCTTTTCTTCAGCATGGATCAAAACCCTGCTAATTGTTAACCCGCCTCCTGCCTTAGATAGGCTTTCCAAAGTAGGCAGAGCAAGTTGGGCCTTGGAACAAGTCCTCCATATTCAAACACAAACACTTTAAAAAAAAAAAAAAAACAAGACAACCCAACTCTTCAATAGAAAAATGCAAAAAAACTTGCATGGAATGCAGCACAATAACCCCAAATAAAAATGAGATGCTCCATCGATTTGGAACACTTTCCGTGGCGATCTAGATGCTTGAATCTACAGCCCTGTGGGAGACACACAAACACACACACACACAAACACACACACACACAAACACACACACACACAAACACACACATGGGAATGTGAAAGATGATTTATTTTTCTCCTATGGTACTTTGTTATGTACCTGGAACTGATCCCACCAGTTGAAAGTGTCAAAGGGAGAAGGGCGAGCCATTTGAAAAAAGCTTTTGCTTGCAAAAGGATTTAGAAAATAATTTTTTTTCTACATCTCAATGTTGTTTGATACCTAACCGGTTCAGTGTTATGATTAATTATATCTGGATAGGTGGGCACAAGCTACAAGTCCTGGTTAACAAAGCCAAGTTTGACTCTGGGTTTGTTCGTGTAGACACTGAATCGGATAATCCTTATGGATGAGGTTTAACAGATTAACAAAGTTGGAAGGGACCTTATAGGTCATCTAATCCAACCCCCTTGCCTAAGCAGGAGACTCTACATCATTTCTGACAGATGGCAGTCTGGTCTCTTTTTGAAAGCCTCCAGTGATGAAGCTCTCACAACTTCTCAAGGCAGCTTCTGTTCCAGTGGTTGATGGTTCTGTTAGAAAATTTCTCAGCTCAGCACAGTTTGACTTAGAGCAGGGGTGTCCAACCTTGGCAACTTTAAGACCTGTAGACTTCAACTCTCAGAATTCCCCAGCCAGCTTCTGGGAGTTGAAGTTCACAACTTTTAAGGTGGCTAACACTGGGCACTCCAACTTAGAGACTTCTGCCAGAAGAGATTCCATAACTTGCATTTCATTTCTTCAACCCACTTAAGACATCTGTGTTGGTCTTTCAAGCGAGTGGAGAAATAGAGAGGCCCCCTCAAATGAATTTCAGGGAGTCTTTGACTTACAACCCTTTATGATCATGCGAAATTACAACAGCAGTGGGGGAAAAAAATGACTTACAAAAGGTTACAAAAGAGGGTTGCAAAACACTGTGAAGCAGTATATAAGCCTAACTGCACTGCTGTTGCTATTCCCTTAACCACTATGGCAAAAAAGAACGTAAGATTGGGCATGTCTCATTTAATCACCCTCTTGCTTAGCACCAGAAATTCTGGTCCCAGTTGTGGACGTAATTCAAGGACGACCTGTACTCCATTTCCTGGTTTTGCTGCAGGTGAGTTGGAGAAGGAATTGCCTTTTTACACATCCTTCTCCGAGAAGCTTTTCCCAGTGATGATAAACCAGGTTGTCTTGAGCTGACACCTCCCCATGTTGCTGGACTCAGCCTTAGCTCGAGCTGCAAGGGATAAGAGCTGAAGTCACACCCCCACCCAGTCTCACATCTGGAGGGCACCGCGTTGAAGGAAGACCAGCTGGAACAATGCAAAGCAGCTGGGCTGATGTGGCATCCCAGTCTTGTCTCTTCTAAAGGGTGGCTCTTGCTCGCGAAAGGTATATATTTTATCTAATTACATCTCAAGGCCATTTGCATGTCCCCTCTTATAGCGGTTTTGGGCGGAGATACTTTGCTAGTATTTTAAGGACTGGTAATGTAAACAGAAGGTAGTTTGGCCCAGAGATCAAATCTGACTTTTTTCTCCTTTCTTTTCTTCTTTGACTTAAGGACCACGTAGCAAAGTTTGTGGGAGGGAGCCAACGCCTCTTCTGTTTCCTCCATCCTGGGCAAATTCCTAACAATTGCACAATTCCGGCCCCATCCCGAGGATCCACTCATCGAGGGAGAAGGAAGGGTCCACGGGGATTTCACACTTTGCCTGAAGCCAAGTTTCTTTAGGCTTGCTTTGTTGAAGCTGTCACTGTTGGCTAGGTCCATGCAATAAACTGGCTTTGGATGTGGGATATGGCACATAGGGAATATACACCTGAAGTGGGAAGCAGATTTATGTGGCCCAATCTTGCCCATTTCCATATCTCTGTTCCTGGAAACTGATAACAGATAATCAGAGTTGTTAGGGACCTTATAGGTCATCTAGTCCAACCCGCTGCCCAAGCGGGAGACCCTACACCATTTCTGACAAATGGCAGTCTTCTTGAAAGATTCTTTCTTCTTGAAAGATTCCAGTGATGAAGCTCCCACACCTTCCGAGAGTTTTTTTTAATCCCATAACATTTTAAATTGTTCATTTTCCAATTAAGCCTTCTTAATGTGATGGTCCCAGTAATTTTCATTACATTCAAATCCAAATCTTAGCAAAGTTAGCAGATAACAGAAAGAAAGAAAGGAAGGAAGGAAGGAAGGAAGGAAGGAAGGAAGGAAGGAAGGAAGGATGGATAACTCACTTTTCATTCCCTCCGTTAGGTTCCTTATAATGACAAACAATGAAAAAACTGAGTTCTCGGTTAAAAGCTGCTGCCAGGAGACTCAGGGAACTGAAGCTGAGAGAGGCCAAAGAGGAAGCCTTATAAATGGCAGAGAGACAGAGTTTTCAAAAAGGGAAGATCATGGAATGTCATGAGGCAGGCAGTTCCACAGCCATTATGGGAAAAGAGCTTTTTGCAGCTGACGGCTGATTTTAAAGATGAAATCTGAGCTTGTTTCCAGTCTTCTCCAACGTATGAGCAATATGAGTGAGCTCATCTCAGTTGGGAATTTGATATTGGGGGATGAAAAGCTAATGCAATCCTGGGTTGTATAAGCAGAGGGATAGAATCAAGATCATGTGAAGTATTAGTACTGCTTTATAGAGCCTTAGTAAGACCACATCTGGAATACTGCGTCCACTTTTGGTCACCACACTATAAAAAAGATGTTGAGACTGTAGAAAGAGAGCAGAGAACATATTTTTACATGTGGTGGACCTGCAGTGCTGCAAAAAAAGTATTGGAGAATGATCCAGATATAGGTGGAACAAATGGTGTGAGAGTGTATTCTGTTTTTCTCCTAGGAATAATACCAGAAGGATATAGGCAGGGGTGGGATTCTACCAGTTGGCACCTATTCGCTGGAACTGGCTGTTAACATTCTAAGCAGTTCGGAGAATCAGTTGTTAGAAGAAATTACTGGCCTAATCCTGTAAGGAAGGCAGGAAGGAAACATTCTGGTGTTGCTTACAGAAACTGCCCCTCCGTTAACCCTTATTACGTTCTTGGCAGGACTAGACTTCCTGTCTCAGGAATTTCTCTGGAGTTTT